GCTATCGGGGTTGGAAGGAAGAGTTTTGCTGTAAGACAATACAGCTCTCAAATTCACTAAATTCACTGTTCAGCCCACAATAATTTTCATTTGAAAGTCAACTTGTTAATGTTGCTATACGGATTTTCTTTGTGAAATAATGTTGCCAAATAATTCACTGTTCGATATGCAAAATTTTTATTCTTGTGCTTCAAGGTATTTTGCAACAGGGTCAGCCAGAAAAAAGGTTCCTGATAACATGAAAGGGCATGAAGTTGACTTGGAACGCCGTTACGAAGAATAAAGTAGTTGTCATCCATAAACAAGTGCCATGAATTCGTGTTCTACTACCTTCTAAAAGCCTATCAGTTGTTTTTTTTGTTTGTTTGTTGTTTAACGCCGCACTCAGAGACCACATTCATTCGTTAGGAGTATTTGCGCCGAAGGAAATTGGTTATAAATATGGTTGTGGGTCATTAATCACAAGCGAATCAGGTTTGTAATTATCATGACTACATGCTCTTGTATAGAGCAGTTGGGTACAAATATGGATCTTGGTTGCATCATAACAACTAATAAATCAACACATGACGTCAAACTTATGTATGACGTCATCTGAAAATATTTAACATAATGCTCTAATATGACAATTGAACCATGGGCGCGACTGAGAACAACCAGCGGGAAGCAACTTTTCATTTCTCCTTCGTGAAAATTACCGACAACATCTTATATAATGTCCCTAACGTAAAGTGAATAAATACCCATAGGCACGCCAACTACAACTGCTGGTTCTAGATGTGTGCCCATCTGACAAGGTCACCACACACGAACAATGTGTATTCGGAATAAATAAATATCGTTCCCAACGGATCGTGTTTGTTTGACTTTCTGATGAAGTTGACGACAATGCAAGTACTAGTCCGGACTGATGCCGATTTATAGTGCTAGCTCACTCAGATACCATGCCGCAGTTTAACATGAATACCCCACTCAGACACAGTATACTGACTCCGAGCCGACCAGTCCTTGTTTGAGCCCCTTAATGCCGAGCGCAAGACAGGGTAACAACAAGTACCATCTTTTAACGTCTTTTGGTATGACGCGGCCTGGGATCGAACCCCGGACCTTCTGCTCTCCGGGCGGACGCTCTACCACTAGACTACGGAGGAGGTCTTAAACAGTGTAGAGTAATAGTAACAGATGATAGTAACATAGAACTATTGATATCAATAGCACCTGAAATATACAAAAATGTTCTCAAAACACTCAGGATAGGTTTGGGTATTACAAATTAGAAACATATTTACATACAAGGAACAAACAAATGCATGATTTTTATACTAATAGTTGGTTGGAACAAGATACCATGAAATTCTTGGGTTTCTTTGGGTTTTGCAAAATCTTCAAAGAACGAGTGACACAAAATGTACAATAAAAGCTTTATGAGCGAATGCGTTTAGTGTCATGTTTGAAGTAAAAGTGTCAGTGAGTGCGTTTGATCCTTTATAATATCTTCATGTATGACGTTTGGTGCTGAGCCTATTTTTTGCAGGTACTTGATCACTGTACGTGCCTCCAGTTTGTCAATTTTCCTACTTATATTACTGACACAACTCAGCCTCCGAACTTATTAATCAATTTTAATATTTCATTTATACCATGATTGTAATACAAATGATTCTCAAATATGAATAATGAAGATATTGACATTTCATATGTACGAACAAAACGCACAATTATTATGTGGAAAATCATAGATATATTATAAATGTTTCAAACTTACCGAAATAATCACCGGCAAAGATGAAGAGCAAAACACAAAACTGCTGCGCGTTCATGACTGTCCGAATCTAGTGTTGCCCATACCTTTCTGGTTGGACCAGAGTTCTGTAAGATGCTGGTTTACGCCCTGAATATATGCTGTGGTTGATACAATGGTATTCTCGGAGCAATCAACAAACTTTCACCCAATGAAGTATAATGGTAGCCCACGGAGAACCATGAGAGCAATCTACCCGAGAGCCCGAAGTATTGATTAAGCAGAGCCACTCGCACAAAAGGGATTAAGTGACAGGTTTCTATCATTGTTCCAAACTGTTTCGCGGCTTACAATGGGCATTGATCACTCCATCTGTTCTATCCTGAAATCCACTGGGTACCTGTTAGATCCCCTGAAACCATGTAGTATTGGGATGATTGTCTAATGTTGAGTTTTGACGTCATTGCTTATCAGATCTGATGCGTGACTTTTCTACCTTTTCTAATGAAATTGTCTTACTGTACATAAACTTTTTCTATTTCATTTATACTTTGGATCGATTTTATTTCTTTAACAATAAGTTAAAGTACCTGTATTGTAATGTTCACGTTATATCTTATAATAAGGTTAATAGATTTATGGTTCAATATGTGTGTGCCATTACACATTGCAGTGCAATCCGTGCAGAATTTATTGTTTATGTTATTAAGCATCATTGATATTCTCAGAACACCAAACAACTGTCGTTACATCCATTATAACAACAAAGATAACGGTTAAAAAAATCTCAAATCTCATGACCATGCTTTTAATAGATGTACAAAACGAAATACATACTGTGGATAAGAGTTGATTTGAACTGGATAAACCTACTTAAGCCTCAAAGCACCCTGAAATGTTCTGTAATTTCTTTAAATGTCTGGTCCTGGACCAAGCTGTGAAATTTAAAAAGCTGTTGTTGACACGAATAGTATTGTATGCACGTGTATGTTTGCTATTGATCTTGTTTGGTTATGGAGGCACATGTGACCCCGATCTGTACAGAGTTGCGACCCTCAGTTAGCGTTAGAACCATAGCGTTGAATATCAGATGCACCCCGTAGACGATCCTAGATTTGACAGCAACTGACCTCTTTGCGTCCATCAAAAGGATGAATGTTCGCGATTTGTTGAATTTGCATTAACCTGGTACGCAGTGATATAACTCAAAAGCTGTCCAAAGCGGCATAAAACGAATACACTGATCACTTCATTGTTTGTCTTTTCCTTCAGCTATAAAGTTGCAGCAGGAAGTAATTGTTTACTTATTTGACAATAATCGCATCTATAACAACATTGTAACCCTATTATCAGTGAATAAAGTGAAGTTGTTGGACGAGTAACAATGAACCCTATGAGTCGTTCCTCCTGATATATTTTTTTGCCAATATATACTTTTTCGTACTTCTGGTGAGGCATGATTATGTTCAAGTAGTTAGCTAATAAAATTACATGTAAAACCCCAATGCTGGAGAAAATACAGTCTCGATATCTACCAAAACTGATTCCCTTGGGCGTACAAGGCCAAATAGGGTTGAACATTACATAAGTGTGTGAGTTTTTCAACTTGGTTTTAACGCCGCTTTGAACAATATTCCACATATATCATGACGTGTCAGCTCGATGAGGTAGGACAGCCCGAAGAGATGCAGGTTTAAAGACGTTTACCACTTTGGTGAATCCCTCGAGCACAGCTATGGTGCTGACAAAGCACTTGCTCATCTATATTTCTATATTCCTATAAAGAATCAAGCCTGGGTATGGTATGGTTGACAACATGAACAATGTCTAATACCGACGGGATTCGATGACACGTGATCAATCGTCACAGGGCCTGACCTAGCGATCTCCATTTCAGATATTAATCTTTGTCGACGTTATTCCATATATGGACATTGATAAATGTGATGCAAGCGTCGCACATATGACAGCTATGTCTGACTAAAATGTAGCACACATACTGGTATAAATATATAGTCACATATCACATATTTGTGCATATTTGTACAGGAAGGCATTGCTTTAACTTTAGATGGTAGTCTTCGATCAAGAGCCATAGCAGTTCTGGGTTGTAAAGGAGTATTATAAAAAATATAGGTTAAATGAATGTAGAAAATATAACTCGTAGTTAAATCAATAAAATGGTGGAAAAATCTTGAAAGATATAACTACATTATGAATGAAAGGATGCTGACGGATATAACACCAATCCATAAGTTATTATTTGTCTTGTAGACTGACTTTGGTAGGAGGTAGGAGCCATGCATGCCACGAGATCAATACTTGGGTGTAGTTGGGAGGAATGTTACTTCCAATCCACCCAATGCATTTGGCACAGTTGGAAGGGATGTTTCTTTCAATCCACTCCATGCATTTGGCACAGCTGGAAGGGATGTTTCTTTCAATCCACTCAATGCATTTGGCACAACTGGAAGGGATGTGTCTTCCAATCCACCCAATGCATTTGGCACAGCTGGAAAGGATGTTTCTTCCAATCCACTCAATGCATCTGGCACAGTTGGAAGGGATGTTTCTTTCAATCCACTCAATGCATTTGGCACAGTTGGAAGGGATTTGTCTTCCAATCCACTCAATGCATCTGGCACAGCTGGAAGGGATGTGTCTTCCAATCCACTCAATGCATTTGGCACAGGTGGAAGGGATGTCTCTTCCAATCCACTCAATGCATCTGGCACAGTATGAAGGGATGTGTCTTCCAATCCACTCAATGTATCTGGCACAGCTGGAACGGATGTTTCTTTCAACCCACTCAATGCATTTGGCACAACTGGGAGGGATGTGTCTTCCAATCCACCCAATGCATCTGGCACAGTTGGAAGGGAGGTGTCTTCCAATCCACTCAATGCATCTGGCACAGTTGGAAGGGATGTTTCTTTCAATCCACTCAATGCATCTGGTACAGGTGGAAGGGATGTGTCTTCCAATCCACTCAATGCACCTGACACAGTTGGAAGGGATGTTTCTTCCAATCCATTCAATGCATCTGGCACAGTTTGAAGGGATGTGTCTTCCAATCCACTCAATGCATCTGCTACAGGTGGAAGGGATGTGTCTTCCAATCCACTCAATGCATCTGGTACAGGTGGAAGGGATGTGTCTTCCAATTCACTCAATGCATCTGGTACAGGTGGAAGGGAGGTTTCTGTCAACCCACTCAATGCATCTTGCACAGTTGGAAGGGATGTGTCTTCAAATCCACTCATGAATCTGGCACAGTTGGAAGGGATGTGTCTTCCAATCCACTCAATGCATCTGGCACAGTTGGAAGGGACGTGTCTTCCAATCCACTCAATGCATCTGGCACAGTTGGAAGGGATGTGTCTTCCAATCCACTCAATGCATTTGGCACAGTTGGAAGGGATGTGTCTTCCAATCCACTCAATGCACCTGGCACAGTTGGAAGGGATGTGTCTTCCAATCCACTCAATGTATCTGGCACAGTTGGAAGGGATGTGTCTTTCAATCCACTCAATGCATCTGGCACAGCTGGAAGGGATGTGTCTTCCAATCCACTCAATGCATCTGGTACAGGTGGAAGGGATGTGTCTTCCAATTCACTCAATGCATCTGGTACAGGTGGAAGGGAGGTTTCTGACAACCCACTCAATGCATCTGGCACAGTTGGAAGGGATGTGTCTTCAAATCCACTCAATGTATCTGGCACAGTTGGAAGGGATGTGTCTTTCAATCCACTCAATGCATCTGGCACAGCTGGAAGGGATGTGTCTTCCAATCCACTCAATGCATCTGGTACAGGTGGAAGGGATGTGTCTTCCAATTCACTCAATGCATCTGGTACAGGTGGAAGGGAGGTTTCTGACAACCCACTCAATGCATCTGGCACAGTTGGAAGGGATGTGTCTTCAAATCCACTCAATGAATCTGGCACAGTTGGAAGGGATGTGTCTTCCAATCCACTCAATGCATCTGGCACAGTTGGAAGGGATGTGTCTTCAAATCCACTCAATGCATCTGGCACAGTTGGAAGGGACGTGTCTTCCAATCCACTCAATGCATCTGGTACAGGTGGAAGGGATGTGTCTTCCAATTCACTCAATGCATCTGGCACAGCTGGAAGGGATGTGTCTTCCAATTCACTCAATGCATGTGGCATAGTTGGAAGGGATGTGTCTTCCAATTCACTCAATGCATCTGGTACGGGTGGAAGGGATGTGTCTTCCAATCCACTCAATGCATCTGGCACAGCAGGAAGGAAGTTTTCTGTCAATCCACTCAATGCATCTGGCACAGTTGGAAGGGATGTGTCTTCCAATCCACTCAATGCATCTGGCACAGCTGGAAGGGATGTGTCTTCCAATCCACTCAATGCATCTGGCACAGTTGGAAGGGATGTTTCTTCCAATCCACTCAATGCACCTGGCACAGCTGGAAGGGATGTGTTTTCCAATCCACTCAATGCATCTGGCACAGCTGGAAGGGATGTGTCTTCCAATTCACTCAATGCATGTGGCATAGTTCGAAGGGATGTGTCTTCCAATTCACTCAATGCATCTGGTACGGGTGGAAGGGATGTGTCTTCCAATCCACTCAATGCATCTGGCACAGTTGGAAGGGATGTGTCTTCCAATCCACTCAATGCATCTGGCACAGCTGGAAGGGAGGTTTCTGTCAACCCACTCAATGCATCTGGCACAGTTGGAAGGGATGTTTCTTCCAATCCACTCAATGCACCTGGCACAGCTGGAAGGGATGTGTCTTCCAATCCACTCAATGCATCTAGCACAGCTGGAAGGGATGTGTCTTTCATTCTATCAGTGTATCTACAGACTGACACACCCGGAACGTAACCAGGTCGCCTTCAGACAACAATAAGACATCCAGAAGACCTTTCTTAATCCGCAGAGTTGTAACCCTGCCCCTTGTTCCCGCTAATCAGATATAAAACTGATTCTGATTTATCGACAAATATAGATATTTGATTTATTTAAAATAAACATAATAACATATATCGTGATATTTCCCACCAGGAGCGTGGAAGGTCGGTGGCTCGATTCGCGTACGCGTCATACTAATAGACGTGAATATGGTACTTGTCGTTACCCTGCCTGACGCTCGGCATTAAGGAGCTAAAACAAGGACTGGTCGGCTCTTAGTCAGTATACTGTGTTTGAGTGTGGTATTCATGTTAAAACTACGGCATGTTGTCTCTGGACAAGCACAAACACACACACACACACGCACGCACGCACGCACGCACGCACGCACACACACACGCACGCACGCACGCACACACAGACACACACACACAAACACACGTCCATGCACGTCATTCTATAAATGTACTACTCGTAAAACTTCAGTCACAATATAAACAGACCTTATTATTTACAACTGCTACCACCCACTGCTTCAGCTATTCCCCTACTAGCACTAAACTTGTACATTGTAACACATCAAACTGCATGGTCCACTCCACAACCAATCCCTTAACTATCACCTCTGCTGAACAATGGTTTTATCTCACATGCCACAGCCAGTAAACAACATAGCACACGTCGAACAGGTTGGGTATTTCATGACGAACATTACTTTTGTCAAACCCCTTGCCGCACAACTATCCAATATGTATGAACGTCGTAAGTTGCAACCTATTTGAACTTATCACTGTTTTTTAGCAATAGTTATATTTGTGTACCATTTCATATACCGTGCTATTGTACTGCATTGTGTGTCTTCAGGCTTGATGTTGTATTTTAAGCTTCTGTTTTCTGAGTTTTATTGAAATACAGCATGCGAGACGATAATTACATATATTTCCTTTTCTTCTTCTCAACTAAAGTGGGGCGGTCGGGTAGCCTAGTGGTTAAAGCGTTCGCTCGTCACGCCGAAGACCCGAGTTCGATTCCCGACATGGGTACAATGTGTGAAGCCTATTCTGCTGTCTCTGATGGATGTATTGACGTATCCAGCACCTAATGAAAACTCACACACACACACACACACACACACACACACACACACACACACACACACACACACACACACACACACACACACACACACACACACACACACACACACACACACACACACACACACACACACACATATATATATATATATTGTTGACGCACGGTTCTAACACCGACTTCTGGATCTAAGTTGAATATGGGATCAATATTTCGGTGCATTTTCTTAGTCTCTGAGGACAGGCCCAAAAGTGAAGAACTTAAATCAACAACACTTAACGGGTTAAACAATCCCGAAGCATATTCTGTTAATGATAGATTTTATTAGTCAATTACGTTTCGAACTGTCTAGTATTGTTCCAGGTTGTGTTCTCAATAACTGTGTTTTTTCGATAAGTTGCGTTTTAGCGCTTTTTGTGGCAAAGGTAATTACACTTTAATGCATAAACTGTTTATGATACATCGTATATGATTAGGATGTAGTTGAATGGCTTAATAGAAACATTAAGGATACCTTTGAATATGGATGTAGTTCAAAATAGTGATGACTTTTATTGGATTAAACCAGTGTGTACAAATATACAGTTCATTATTGCATTCATAGTGTAACCAAAGTTGTTATCCAAGGTGTTTTCCTTCCTCGCGTTTTGTCAAATATTGTTGTTTGAACAGTTGTGAACAACTTTACGTCCATCTACACTCCTCATCATTTGGTAAATATTTGAACACCCTGTTTGATGGGATGAATTGAGTACCACGTCAACCGGGATGCGAATCCTTGTTAAAAAGACAACAAGAGCATTGAAATCGACGATTTCATCAATAAACAGTCAATGTCTAATTATTTCTTAGACTTGCAATTATCAATACATTGATGAACAGTGTCAACAGTAATATTATGAATGACATAAACATAAACACGTTTCAGTTGTGTAATTTGTCAGAATGCTATTGCATTTTATCGAATTACCAATAGAAGTTACAGGGGATAATAATGAATGAATTTCTTTATTTCCTCCTAAGTTGAATCCGAAGTTTTTACATAGGCAAATACATTCTTTTCAATGCATCAATGAGATTGCTTGACAATATACAATGAAATTATGCACATACAGTGCTATGAATAAACAACTTACAATGTACATTTTATGAGCAGTGAGGTATCTAGTAGATATACATAAGGTATTTCTTCAAATCTCATATGAAGTGGCAGAAAGACAGTATGATGCTTTGCCAAGTATCAATTTCGTCTGTAAGGCCCTGACCATCTGCACAGAGACACAATGAAAGCATATCATCGTCGTCAAACATATCTATTTTCACATGTACATCAACATCTAGTTTATCAAGCAGGCATGAGAAGAAATGATTTCTGTCAGGCATAAAAAAAATCACAGTGCAAAATAATATGGCAATCACAGTCATAGCAATGTCTGTTACAATTGCTACATTCGATTTTAATACAAAGTTGCACGGGTTGTCTTAAATGTGGATAAAGATGCATTACATTATAAAAAACATGCATTTGTAACCGTTTACGAATTTATGCTACCGTGAAAGATCTAGTCTCTGTGCCAGTCGCTCTCTTCAAATGTACTGTTCATTCTCTGATAGACGTCTGATAACAGGCCGTTTTAGCTGGGAATGAACCACTATCAGTATATTATTTGGTATAGTTATCTAAATGATATGTTTAGCAGTATATAGAAGCATGCTGCATATGCTTACTGGATGGCTAATATTGACAATAGCGTTGGTAGCAATGTGAGCACCAAAAATATCTTTTGTTATTGAGTTACTATCATTATTACAGAGCCTTCCTAATAATTGTAGTCTACATATATCAATGAAGCCATTCATTGACCACATTCCCAAGTTAGAAATAGACGAATCGGTTGGATGTCTTTTATCAAACCCTTGTATATGGCGAGAAAAGTGCCGTTGTGTACATTCAACCATTTCAAGTGTTTTACCGTTTAAGCCTGGTAAAAATTCACATCCATAAAAGATTGTAGATAATATCATTCTTTTTCATATATTGACACACGCATCTGGGTGGAGGTCGGAATCGTGAGCAACACGTCATGATTCATTCTTTACGGGATAAATTACTGTTTATGAATATTCCGCCAAATTTGACGGAGTCGGAGGTGTCAATTGTTCCATCACCAAACTTGTAGATTACTTTATTATAAAGCTTGCTCTTCACCGACCTTTGTGTCACCTGGTTCCCATATCAAAGATTTTCGTAGCTAAGTGGATCATTGATGTCACTGCACTCAGTGATAGATCTCGAAGCTATAATCTCTAAAGCAATGTACTGATCCTACTGTTAAGCTACGAGGGTCAAATGCGCATCCACGAGAACCGCAGACTCCATTCACCCTTTTAATGCTAGATGGTGCATGGATTCTTTCATCCATCACCACTGACGTTCTTTGGTATATTTCTTTGAAAGATACTTTGAGTATGTGTTAATTTATGTTTCTTTAACATTTAAGACCAAACTTAGAATAGAACTTTGCAAAATGTGTCACTTTCAAAACAATGCAAAAATATTATCCTATGACACGACTAAATAAAAACGACAAAACTTTCCATGCTTGTAATCTGCTTTGTACGATTTCTATCATAAGCCCATCTGTGGCAGATATTACTTATGGAAATGTTTTTTATTGCTTATATTTATGAACCGCTATCAAATAGTGATGATACCAGATCGTATCCTGCCTCACCGCCGGTGGCATCCATCTCAAACAAAAGCAAGGGCAAGTCAATTGTTCACCTGACAAAATACGGAATTGCATCAGACATGATTTGTATCACTGATGCCTCATGAATGTGCAGAGGGTAGCTGGCCACAACAGTATAATAATATCCCCCAACTTTTCTCGTCCTTGTTGGGTTCTATAAGGTGCAATCACCTGGTGCAGTGACCGCTAACGGAGTACTAAACAGTTGCTGACAGCATGTACTTGTTTTACCTACTCACGTGTTAATTGAGGCGTGAGTAGGTATATACACAGTAAAATAGTCCAAGGAATGATGGAATATATGAAGATAATCATTAGGTTACAACGAATGAATACGATTATTATAAGTACAATCAAGGTTTTGAATCAATTCTATTTGTGGATGTTACAATGTAACCTCGATTAAACGGACGTACCCGCTTTTATCATATTATCGGAAAAAGAGTTGGTCGACCAAGGTTGGCAACATAAAAAGTTTCACTTACAATGTATAATTGTGATCTTCGTCGTGTCTAGGGGCTGAATCAATAGGCTTTGTAATATGAAGGACCTGCAGTTTAGACGCGAAGCCTCCCTTCCTCATGTATTCATGCCTACGATATCTGTACATATTAATTTAATGGATTTCTATATCTATTTCAATCTCCCGTACACTCTACAGATGAATAACAGCCATTTAACACAAAAGCCATTGACAATCCGGTTGTTCCAACAACCTTTACCTGTATGTCGGAAACAAATTGAGATCTCATTTCATCGGCAACATAATAAAACCTCCACAGCGTGTTTTGGTTTCATACCTCATAGATATATACAGTCTCTGGGTGGATCAGGGTTGTAAGGTCCGGCAATTCGGTATACACTTGATGGGCTTTGCTCGATGGACTGCTACGGTTTCCGTAAAATAGGCTTGCTTCACACATTGTACAAATTTACTGGCTAATGTACCAAAACAATGCTGTATTGTGTGAAACGTAACAACCATATTACTCATAGATGTTCTTATACTTATTTAATTCAATAAGTTACAATTATATAAAAATTAATAGAATGTAATGGTAGCAAATGTACTTCTTAGCGGACCG